TTTTATAGTCATGCAGTTCATCAAGCTCTACAATTAAAAAAAATTCTGGTTGAAAGTCACCCATAGAGCTACAACATAAAATTCGCAAAATGGCAGAAACATTACTTGGGTTGTTTTTAAAACAAAATATTCAATTATATTATTTCAATAAAGAAATTTATAATACACAACTAAATTTTGTTCAAGTTATACAATACAGAAGTTTGACTGCCATTACTTCAGCATGAGATAGAGTAATCATAAATGAACAAAAAAAGTTGTATATTACAGGGGCGTAAGATTAACAGTTCTCAAAATACAGCGAGTATTAATATTGGGGAGTTTCATCACGACGCTTAACCTGCTGATGCAACTACGTGTGCACGCGGTAGACTTGTCCTACGGAAAAAATGTAAACAACTGTTATTGTGAAACATTTAGTAAATTTCAAGATATTTTTTCCCATTTTTTTAATAAATAAAATAAACTGTATCAATTTTGTACTACGGAGATATTGTTGTGCTTATATTTTAGCTCGAATTTTAGTAATTATGGATCTCTTAAGGAACTTAACTTTTAATCAAATTATATATTTGAAAAATATGTAATTAAAGTACCCAAAGATTCAAGTCATCATATGTATTAAAAATAATTTAGGTAGGTACCAACAAAAAAGCAAAATTCAGTAATTTTTAAACGGCGTTTAAAAATAAACGCCCAAGTACAAAACAAACTACAACATATGCTCAAAATGTCCACCACCATTTTCGATGTACACACGACACCTTCGAATCCAAATTTCACGCACTCGCTGGAAAACACCTCAAGAAAATTAAATAGTGGTACGTAAAAAACATTCAGACACGGTCGAATCCAGATACCAACTGAATTGCGTATTGGTGGTTGCTGGACACCTTAGTACCTCGTTATTTTTTAAAGAAGATCAAAAAATTGATGAACATTGTATTTTATGGTATTCTATGCACGCAGTTATGTCAATATTCATTAATTAATCGAACTTACTAAAAATAATTTAGGTATTTACCAAAAAGCAAAATTCAGTAAGTTTTTAAACACACAAGTATAAAACAAGCTACAACATATGCTCAAAATGTCCACCACCATTTTCGATGCACGCACGACACCTTCGAATCCAATTTCGCTGGAAAACACACCTCCAGAAAAGGA